GGTGGCACATGTCTTTCATCTTAGTACCCCAGAGCCGGAGGCAGGTGTATCTCTGTGATTTCAAGGCCAGCTTGGTCTACAGAGTGAGTTCCAGGACAACCAAAGACACACACAAAACCCTGTCTTAAATAAATAAATAAATAAATAAATAAATAAATAAATAAATAAATAAATAAGATAAAAGGATACTGTATGTATCCAAACAGGGATACAGAAAGGTATTAGATTCAGAGAGATGCCATGTAGCTTCTGAGGAAGCAAGAGATCCAGGCACCACCATTAATCCAAGACCATGTGGGTTTAAATGAGTGTTAATAATTAAGAACAAGCAAGCCAATGAAGAGCGCTAGCCATCAGCCAAAGACTTTATAATTTATATAAGCCCCTGTGTGTTTATTTATGACTAAAGGGCCCCAGGAATGGACAGAACACAAATTTTTGTGTATACAAAATAACAACTAAGCTTGTTGCACCTTGACACTGGGAATGCCCCTACATTTTCAATAATGACCAAGGGAGGGGCAGTACTGGCCTTGTGCCCTGTTTTTTGTATGTGACAAATTACTTATACCACACCCAAGAGTTTCCACCAGGGGTTTGGATGACTGACAGCCTACTCTATAGCCTGATTTTGTTATTTTTTGTATGTGTGTGTGAAATAAGAGGTAGTCTGAACTTTTCATCTTCATCTTTCCACCTTCAAGTACTGGGACTGTAGGTGTACATTACAATGCTCAGCTTTACTGCATTTTAGTAGCCTTTTAGTAAAGTATGCATGTGTGTGTGCACGTGCATGCTCATGCACACACATGTGGGGTACAGACACAAACACACCCCTATAATTTATTTCTGGTCTGTCCATTGTTATTTCTATTAAAAGAAGGAAATGGCTGTGCTTTTATCAGCACTCTTGGCTTCCTGTCTTCATGTATAGGCTTTAGTTTTTTTTGATTTTGTTTTGATTTTTTTTTTCCTTTTTTAATTTAAATTTGAAACAAAGTTGTTTTACATGTCCATCCAAGTTCCCTCTCCCTTCCCTCCTCCCCTGACCCCACCAACCCTCTATTCCACCTCCTTTCTTCTCTCCAGGGAGGGTGAAACCTTCCATGGGGAATCTTCAAAGTCTGTCATATCATTTGAAGCAGAGCCTAGGCCCTCCCCCATGTGTCTAGGCTGAGACAGTATCCCTCTATGTGGAATGGGCTCCCAAATTCCATTCATATAATAGGAAAAAATGCTCACCCACTACCAGAGGGACCATAGATTACCCAAGCTTCCTAATTGACACCCACATCAGGGGATCGGGATCAGTTCTCTGCTGGTTTCCCAGGTATCAGTCTGGGGGTCCATGAGCTCCCCCTTGTTCAGGTCAAGCTGTCTCTGTAGGTTTCTCCAGCCTGGTCTTGACCATTTTGCTTATCACTCCTCCCTCTCTGTAACTGGATTCCAAGAGTTTGGCTGTGTTTAGCTGTGGGTGTCTGCTTCTGCTTCCATCAGATACTAGACAAAGGCTCTAAGATGGCATATAAGGTAGTCATCAATTTCATTATCAAGGAAGGGCATTTAAGGTAGCCTCTCCACTACTGTTTAGATTGTTTGTTGGGATCATCCTTGTAGATCTCTGGACATTTCCTAGTACCAGATTTCTCTTTAAACCTATAATGGCTCCCTCTATTATGGTATCTCTTTTCTTGCTCTTCTCTATTCTTCCTCCCACTCAATCTTCCTGCTCCCTCATGACCTTCTCTTCTCCCTATCTTTTTCTTCTAATTCCCTTTAGCCTCCCCACATGCTCCCAATTTTCTCAGCAGATCTTGTCCCTTTCCCCTTCTCCTAGGGAACATGTATATCTTTCTTAGGGTCCTCTTTAATTCCTAGCTTCTCTGGTGGTATGGGTTGTAGGCTGCCAATCCTTTGCTCTATGTCTAAAAAATCATATATGAGTGAGTACATACTGTGTTTGTCTTTTGTGTAAATGTACCATATTATCTTCTTAACATAGATGGACTGGGTAGTCTGTGGGGCCTCTAGTAATGGATCAGTATTTATGCCTAGTACAAGAATTGACTTTTGGAGCCCAGCCTACATTTCTCAGCCTAGACACAGTAGGGAGAGCCTAAGCCTTACCCCCAAATGATATGACAAACTTTGAAGACTTCCCATGGAAGGCCTCACCCTCCCTGGAGAGCAAAAAGGGGATGGGCTGGGGTTTGGTGGGGATGATAGGGGTGGATGGGAGGGAGAGGGGATTGGAATTGACATGTAAAACAACCTCGTTTCAAATTTTAAAAAAGGAGGGGAGTCTATGGATGGTTTGGCATGGTTTATTGAGACTCTGTGAGGAGCAAACTGCTGGATTGCCATCATAGCCTTTGACTCTCTCTCTCTCTCTCTCTCTCTCTCTCTCTCTCTCTTCTTTCTCTCTCTCTGTGTTGCATAAATATGCATGTTTTCAAAAGGTAGAAGAGGACATTGAGTGACCTATTATGGCACTCTCTTCTTTATTCCCTTTATTTATATTGTGTCTCCTGGTGAACTAGTGTTAGATAGACAGCATGCCTCAATGATCCTGCTGTGCTCAGAATACAGGAACATGAAGCCATAATCAGTTTTTTGGTTGAGGTAATGGAAATTCAAGCTTCAAGCTCAGGACCTCTTATTCACAGATCCATTGCCTCAGCCTGAATTGTTTATCTTTTTGTGACACTAAGCATGAATGTTCCATACAGTGAACTACAACTTGGGTTATGGTAATGACACAACACATACAATAATATGCAGTGTATGAAAAAGAGCAATCTAGAACAGAATAAAGTTTTGGCCTAAGAAATGGATAACTGGTGGTCTGTTGGTGAGTATGACTATTGAAATGGAGTAGAGATCATTTTTATCACTTTTATGGACATTGTCTTATTCTCCTGATCTGCAAGTGACAGCGAGAGAAAGAAAGGGAGAAAACTGGGTCTGGCATTAAGAAGCCTCAATGCCCTTCCCCATGTCACACTTCTCCCTATAAAGCCATACTTCTTTTAACAAAGTGATACCTCCTAAACCTCAAAAAAGAGTTATTCCCTGATGACTAAGCATTCAAATGTATGAGCCTGTAGGGTCATTTTTATTCAAACCACAACAGACATCTTGACATGGCCCTCCACATGAAGGGAGACTTCAGAACAGCTGATGTTTAACTCAGAGTTATCAGTATAGAATTGTTACTGAAAATCATTGACAACAGGTGATAACGATCACAGAGAGTAAGTGAAAGGGTGGAACAGGTTCAAGTGCTAATCTTGAGCATGTTCCCACAAAAATGAGTGTCAGGAGGTTTTCAGGGACATGACAAAGGAAGTCAATTGTTATTTGTGACCAGGGATGTAGTCTGGTTGTAGAGTACCTGTCTAGCAAGGACAATGGTCTAGATTTCATCTTTAACTCAAAAGGAAAGGCATAGTTTAGACATCTTGTAATAAAGTTTTACAGTAATACTCTATTCACTTCTTTAATCCAATGGAAATTGACTTTGTATTTGATAATGGTGCATCTCCCAGAAGCTTCTTTTCCCACAACCATTTATAAAAAGAAGTTTACTTATTGACAAATGTCAGATACCTGGAGAGGGACAAGTAAACTAGAGTGTGACAGCTGACATTTTCAGTTTATTTCCTGTCAGCCGATTCCCCTCCTCCTCCCACTTGAGTTTGTTAAGAGAATAAACCATGGTCTCTGATAATCCTCATTTTATTTTACTTTTACCTCTGTCAAGGTTTCTGTTAATTCCATCCATTTTTATATGTGTTTTAAATGCAGTTGTCCAAGTTATACCACACAATGTAAGTTCTAACTAATATCTTGTTTTCATAGGCTTTGGTAATTTTATCTAGATAACATTTCTGATATATTTTCTAAACATCACTTTTTAATATTTTTTGCTTCCAGTAAACTCTTACACTGATTCTAATAGGTTTATTCCCAAGTTATTTCTTATTGATTCTTGAACTTACAAAATGTAATTTTTCTTATAATTGAATTCTCTAACGGTTAGATCTTGTTATATTAAAATTCAGTCCACAAGATTCTCCATGCCCATCATATTTTCAGCATAAGTGTCTGTTCTTCCTTTCCCCTTATCATATATTTGATTACTTTTTGTTTGTTTTCCACACTGACTGGACTATACTCAAACACTGAAATGACGTGGTAAGAGAACATCTTTACTCTGTCTGATATTAATGGGAAGGTGTTCAATACCACACTGGTAAGTATGTCTCCTATAGAGTTTTAAAAGTGCTTGCTATTAAATTACAAAATCATCATCTATCAAAAGTTTGATTAAAGTCTTTTAAATATTAAACCCTGTATTGAATTGTGTACTTTTATTAATCTACTGAATTACATTTAATTGGTGTGTGTGCGCATATGTACTTAGTCGTGACTGTATATACACATGTTGTGGAACATGTATGGATGTCCGAGGACACCTTAAGTGTCTGTCCTTCTAATATGTTAATCCCGGAGATCAAACTCAGATCACACAGTTTGACAACTAGTGCTTTTACCTTCCAAACCTTCTCCTAAGCCCTCCAGTGGAATATTTTTTAAAATGTAAATAAAACGATGTGTTTCCTTCTATGCTCTAATATTATGCCAATCATTGTAAGTTAAGTTTCAGTGTACCAATTTATGAAGGGAAATAATAGAGGTTACCAGATATTAGGGCCTAGCCCAGGAGCATGAATCCAGGAGTGTGAGAGCAATGATGAATTTATAAAGGACAAAGACTAACTGTTGTTGAAACTCCTCATGGTAGGGACTGTAGGAGTGGGCTCATTAGCCTAAGCAAGTGATAACATAGCAGAGATTCACACAAAGAAACAAACATGCCCTTCTTGTGTTTCTGATTCCTTCTATAGTATTATTTAATTTCTGTAGTTATTTGGATGTGAATGTCTTTTCTAAGGTCTTGATATGAAGCTCCATATTTTCCTTTTTTTTTTCCAAGCCAAACCTTATCCAGCTTTATTAAAGATACTTTCCATAAACAATCATGGTATTTCAGGCAGGACATGGGCAGACAATCATTAACAGTTTACAAGAACTTCCAAACTCCCTTCTTGTATAGACTACCAAAATCAGAAAGCCACTATAAAACCCAGTGAAGTCTTCATTCAATGCTTTGAAAAGGGGAAGAGCTTAGAGTGAGGGTTGACATTTCACATTAAGGATGTTGTTTAACAACTTTTCACAAGCCGACCCTGACTTTCAGAAAAACGAAATGAAAACGGCAGAATTATCATTCTGAAGATCCACAATCTTGTCTATAAAAGGAACCGATGCTCCTTTGAGGATAATTATCACTGCAAAGTCCAGATTGCCCAATAGACCAGCAAAACCAATTTTAGGGGGTCAGGTTCCAACAGGTCTCTGGTTTTAAGGGAGTTAAGTCTATGTTGATGGTACAGGGGGAAGAGGATATAAAAAATGAATTTAGTTTTCCCACACAAGGCATTCTTTGCCATGGTGGCCACATATGTCAATACCAGGACGTCTCTCCTGAGCCAAGAGGAGACCTTTAAATTGTCAAGGAGAGATGCTTTCATCAACCATCATCAATCCATCTTGGGAGACATTTTGCTAGTGACACATGTTCCTTCCCCCCCCCACCAAAACAATGAAGTGTTCTGTGTGCTAACAACATAGCTTAAAAAAAAAAAAGTAAAACAAGATTCTGCATTTTTATAAAACTTGATAAAAAATAGTATTTCAAACTGTACAGTCACCAGAAGTACACAGTTATCAAAATGCACACATCTCACTTGGCATCTCCAGCACCTTCAGCTTTCTGCGCCTGGTCTGTTTTGGCGTCTCCATTTTCTGCAGGATTATTTGCATCCTTGCCAGCATCAGCTTTCCCCTTCTTCCCCTTGGGTACCTTCTCTCCCTTCTTTGCAGGGGCCTTTTTAGGCTTGGGCTCTGGCTTTGGAGGAGCAGGTTTAGCAGACAACCTCGCAGATCTTCTCTGTGTCTCGTCCTTCACCTTGGCTTTATCTCCTTTAGTATCCCCTTCAGCCTTTCTTTTGGGCATGGCGGCGGCGGGGGACGGCGGTGCAGAACGCGGGGCTGCAGTGGTGCGCGGGTTTGGTCCAGCCGGGGGTCGTTCTTGCTGCTTCTTCACACTGCTCCGAAGCTCCATATTTTCAACCTTTACTAATTTGATCATCTGTGATTATAAATTTCCCCCTAAAATTGTTTTTTGCTTGACAAATATTTTTGTATGTCATAATTTTGTTTTTAGTCTGCCCAGATGTTTGGAGATTTTCTTCTGAATTTTCCCTTTATCTAATTACAGTTAATATGTGCATGTTCATTTATGAGTTTGATATAGATTTGAGTTTGATGTATTCACCCACAAAGTTTTCAAACATGTCTTAACAGACCCTACTCCAGCCTCAGAGCTGGTCAAAGTAGAGGCAGTAGGGACCCAGGCTCACTTGGAGAAGTTCATCCTTTGGGAATATAGTTCCTGCCAGCTTCTGTGTACCCTTTTAACTTCCAGTAGATTTTATATAGGTATATGATATTTGAGGTTTGCTTTGTACCTTCTTATTATTTTTGGTGGCAATGAGTAAAGATTTTTCTACAAGTGAAAACCTAATCTGTTTTGAGGACCGGCTTTTCACTATGGTGTTGACCAAGCACTTGTCATATAATATTTTCCCACATTAAATCATGTAGAAGAAATGTCTTCCAGTGTTGAAATCTAAGAGCCTGCTGTCATATTATATATGCCCTTACAGTCATACTATAAACATATAAAAGAGGGTTTTTGATCCCCTAGGATTGTGTGTGATTGTGAGCTGCTCACTGTGATCACTGAGAATCAAGTTGTCAAAGAACAGCAAGTGCTCTTAACCATGGAACTATTTCTCTAGCCCCTACTATCTCTTATCTTTACAAATATTTCAATAATTTTCTTACCAATGTTGTGTATTTTTGTTCTTTGTTCTTTTGTGATAATTAAGCATAATAATTTAATTGTAACTTTATAAGTCCCTGTGAAATGGCTAAAGTAAAACCTCATCTGGGTGCTACAGTCATTCAGAAAACAGTGGGTTTCTGAACTATCCAAGCAATAAGTCAAACTGGTCTGCCTCTTTAGACCTGTAAAGTGATAACTACAATTTTTCAGTCATTTTTTTCCTTGAAAAATTCCCTAATTTCTTGACAAATATACTTCTAATTAAAATACTGGGACATCAAAATGGAATGGTTTTGTGCTTGAAAAATGAGTGATAGACAGTAACTAATGCACCATGCAAACCCACAGTTATGGTATTAGAGGTACTCGATCCTAGTATTGAATATTTTTCTATACTTCATCATCTTCCCAAGGTTATCTTAAAATAGGAAATTTGGTAAAAAATTTGCTTTGTTTGTTTTATGAAATTGATAGCAACTATTACTAGTTTGGATATAAGACTGAATGACATCTCTCTGATGATGCAAAACAATACATTAGTTATAAAGAACAAAAAAAAAAAAAAACGTGTAGATATACTTGTGGGAATTAAAGACAATACTCACAGAGGTAAAATGGAAATCTTGCCAAAATAGAAAATTCAAAGATTTTACTCTTGAGAAACCAAGCCTCATTAACTCTAATTAGGATTCCTGTACACATCTAAATTTTAATGCTTCAGACTTCCAACAAGGGACATTCTGTACATTTAATGCCAGCTAAAACTTTCCTAACAAACCAGCTTGAATTTTATTTTACCAGTGTCTTTCTACTGTGTGTTCTGGACATTAGTGGGCTTGTCTTCATCAAGTGTGCATGGTTTACACAGGCAGATTCTGAAAGTCAGTTGCTTTCCTTGCTCTCCATTTCATCTCATTCAGTTCAGAACATAATGAATAACAATTTTCTGTGGGGAAAATAGAAAGTAGCCTGGTTACTCAGGAGCATTTAATGTAGACAAGCCATCATCACCAACTATGTAAAGATTTCTTTCTAGGTCCTCATTAATGATTTCATTCTTCTGGTCTACACTGTTCATATCCCTCACTTTAGCACCAGTTCTTTGGGGATAGACAAATCTCTCTTAATTTTTTAAAAATTCCAATAATATTTTAACCTTTGCTTTATACAGTAAATATGAAGTCACATTCACCGACTATTAACAATATTACTGAATTTCTGCACCTTTCTTTTGTGGATGTTTATTTTTTTTTATTTTATTTTTTATCTTGTTTTGAGAGGATTCATGTAGCCAAGGCTGAACTTTAACTTGCTCTGTAACCATGGATGGCCTTTAAGTCCCAATAATGCTTCCTCTACTGTTGAAGGTGAGAAAGTCCCTGAAGGATTTACAACAGGTAGGGAATATGATCAGGGTGAAATAAGAATGAAATGGTTTAGTATGATTTTGGTAGTTAAATCTGGACCAGGACTTCTGGTATCTGAGCCAGATCATTTTATTTTAGCCATATTTAAACAAGGCACAATTTTTGAGGGGGAAAGTTTTCTGATAACAGTTAACTCAGTCCAAGAACACAACAATTTTGAGACTTGTTTCTGATGAGACGCTTACAAAGTACATCTGGTTTCTTTCACAAGAAAGGGTTTTGTTGACTCAGAGATTTAGGGAGTTTGACTGAAGTAAATATAATGCCTGTTGGTGTCAGGACTTGCCTGGCCCTAAGAAAACATAGAAGTCACTTAGGATGTTATAAGGCACAGATGGTATCTCTCACAAGAATTTTTTTTTTAAATAATGTATTTTTTATTTTAATTATTTATTTTTTTATTTTACATGTCGATTCCACTTCCCTCTCTCTCCCTCCCTCCCTCCCTCTTACCTGCTCTGCCCCCACACATGCACCCTGACCACCCTCCCCTCCCATCCCCCTCACAAGATTTTATGGCCTAGAAGTAATGCTTAAGGGTTTAAGGGGGAAGAGTCTGTGATAAGTAAAACACAAGTTCTGAAAGATATGGGCAGGATCTGGCACAACAGGTAGCAAAGGATTACCTACCAGATAGCAAACAGCATCACCCTCACTCAGTATTCTGGGAAAATGGCTACATATCTCCTTCCTTTGAGGAGATAAACTGTGTGTTTAACTTTCACAGCTTCACTAGTGCTTATCTGTGTGCATGCAGCCTTTCATGCCTTCTACACTCTAGCTCACCAATGATGGGATTGCAGGTGTATGTTACCACATCCAGTTTTATGTGGTTCTAGGGGAAATATCCAGGGTCCTGGATGACAGGCCAGCATTTTACCAAATAGTCTACAGTTCCAACCTTGATTAGAGGATTTTTATCTGAGTTAGGCATCTCACCTTTCTCCTCACTGTGGAACAATTGTCACAGGGTTCCAAAAGGTTCTTCAGAGGTTAGAATATATGCCTCAACATTTGAAAGTTAGAAGGAAATTGGAAACACAAGTCTCCTGGGACAGCATCAGAAGCTGCTTCTGGACATAAGTTAGAGAGTTCTAATTATACCAGCAGACATATTCAAGTATGCAGGCCACACTAGCCACACTATCATTGAATGGCTTACAGAGTGACCTTCATTCAACAAACCTTTCATTGTGAAGTGACCTGAGTTATTTGAGTTGTAGTAACATACACCTGTAATCCCATCTTTAGTGAGCTAGAGTATAGAAGGCATAAAAGGCCTTGTCCACAAAGACATGACCAAAGGTGAATTTATGGATGCAGAAGGTTCTTAGGAATAGAAACCAGCCATAAATAGGAACAGCCAGATTGCTATGTCTCATATCTTTTGGGCTATATGAGAATTCATTGACGATTATTGATATAAAAAAGTAAAATTAAGTATAGGCAATTTAAGACAATGGATGCTAGATCACTTCATTGGGTTGCAAGTCAGTCTTCTTATCCTCCCTTCTTCTTCTTCTCTTGTCTCCAACTCTAACCCAGGTTTCAGGAATACCAAGAACACTTACTTCCTGTGTGTTCTTCAGTTCATAAACACATTCATTCACATACTGAATGCATAAAATACATGCCTATAATGAAATACAGAAATCTTATTAATTGCTTAAATTTCACATTAAGAAAAGCAATCACTGTGCCATGTGTGTGTACATGCACACAAACCCTGGTATCCAAGAAAGCTTTGGAAATAATGAGGGATGTGTTTATTCTAGAATCAAAGTAATCCTTTAATTAAAAATAGCCTATTTCTTCCTGAATTTGTAAAGCAAATGAACAGGTGCAGAAATGTCAGTGGCCTCCTTTTACTAGGTCCTCATTACTTTGTTTCTTTCTAACTCTGAACAACTGAGTTTGAAGTATGATCAAGATGAAGTGGCTTTTTGAAAAGCACTCAAAGGATTGGCTTTCAATTCTATCAGATAATGCCAGCTCCCCAGTGCTATGGCTATTCCAGTCCCTTAATTCCTTTCTAATATATCTTGCCATGATTTCATCAGGTGAACAAATCCAATTTTCTTTTAAGAAACACTGGAATTATCTAAACCAACACAAGTGATTTCAAGGGAAGTGAAAATGAAGAATTAGAGAGGTGATATTTTGGGGAAAGATTTTTGTTGTTGTCTAGATTTAACATGAAATAACAGTTTCAGAAAATGAGCTAGGAATGGAAGCATATTTTTTCCCTTACCAGCTAAACATAGGTGACATAGATTCTGTGTGGAAGACTTTTGGTTTGATGTTCATAATTAATACTTTTAAGAGGAAGGAGGCATAAAACAAGAATGCAATACACTGAAGTACTGATTTTATGTATAAGCAGATTTTCTTATTTTATACTTCCTATAGATTGTAAAGCCTCTGAATGTTATTAAGAAATATTTACACTCATTCTTTGCATCTAGCCTATCAGTTTTGGCTTTGTTTTCTTCTCTTTTAATAACTATTTTTAAACACACACACACACACAAACACACACACAGAGAGAGAGAGAGAGAGAGAGAGAGAGAGAGAGAGAGAGAGAGAGAGAGAGAGAGAGAGAGAGAGAGGAGAGATGCAGGTACACCATAGCAAATGTGGAGATCAGGAGACCACTTATGGGAGTCAGTTCTCTCCTTGTACCGTGTGGGGTCTGGTAACTCAGGCCTTTACTCTATGT